AACAGGCAATTCCACAGGAAGGGCTTAGTTTAACAAAAGGTGCTGGCGCTATTAGAACAGACCACACTAGGAAGAGCCCTGACCCGCACTTCATACTATATGTCAGCATTACATCAAAACGGGTCTGAAAATAAAACATCTAGAGGAAAACAGGAAATTCTGTGACACTGCGTCAAAGCTTTCTCAGGTGCAGCACTGAAAACACAACTCACAGAAGCAAAGCTTGGTAAGACTGGATGCAGGGCAAGATGAGTTCTGGACAACTGACAAGTTCTGGGTAGCTGGGGGTGATGACGTCAGGATCCAGAAGGGCAAGGAGCTGAGCACAGGACGCGGCCATTCCCTGACTGCTGTCACTGCCGCGTCCAGCGTAGGTGAGCACTCAGGAAGGAACTCAGGGGACAGAGACAGGCTCTCAGCGGAGCCCTGACAAGAAATTCTTAAATTTTTGAAAAACCAAACTCCGCAAACCACAGAATCCACACTGGGTGAGGCCTGAAAAGCTACAGAGCAAGCCTCCTGCTTCCTGCACTCTGGTCCAAGAGGGGCTTTCAGGCCTTCCCTAACAGCAGAGAAACCAGGCAGGGTGAGAGGCTGGGTATGTCTCGGCCCAGTCACAGATTCTTTTTCCCATACAATGCTGCGACCTCATTTTCCCCAAAATAAGACCTAACCGGAAAGTAAGCCCAGCATGATGCTTCAGGGTGCTCATAATATAAATCCTACACCCAAAATAAGCCACAGTTAAGATCATCAGACAGACGGACACACTTACTATGGCCACTGCAACACACAATGGACTAGAAAATAGTGTTAATATGTAATTAAATATAAACAAGCAATATTACTGACATAATAGCTAAACGATAATATGAATTATAATTAAGTATCTGTAAATACCCAGGCGGGCGCCTTTGGATGAGAGGTAAACTGTAGCAGACGCCTCTGCTCAGTATTAGCGGGCTGTAGTGGCACAAGCCCCTTGCCCCTCTATAATTGGCTGCATATTATCTCAGGAGTCCGACCGGAGCTTTATGTGACTCAAATGGGCATGTCAGGTAGCAGAGTTGGTCTAGATTGCTCCTTTGCTAATGGCTGCTACCGAGACTTAAGTCCTGGTTCCTGAAGTAGCAGGGCTTGGCTGAGTTCACTTCCAGCCAAGGTCAACTGACTCCAACTAAATTCCTCCCCTCTGGATTAACTGTTTGTTCTCTTTCACAAAGGATACACTGGTGACCCCGCCTGCCTGCAATACTGTTACCAGCAGGCATCCGGAGGCCTGCCAGCCCCCGCCTTCCCATGCTTGTAACGAATAAACAATGGACATCCTTGGTGCCTTTTTCTTTTTTCTTTTTGTACCAGAGATGAAACTCAGGACCTTGCACTTCTGAAGTAGACGAAGCACCACTGAGCTAAAATCCCTGGCCCTGGTGGCTTTTGTCTTTACTGCCCAGAGCAGCTTAGATCAGCCCAAGACCCAGCTTCTCTCAAGTCTTTGTGTCTTTTGTTCTCTCTTTCCTATTCTGCAGATGTCGTACTGTCTCATAGGAAATTGAGACCCATGGCCAGGGTTTTCAAAAACATCTCTTATGGTAAACGTCTGCGTAGACAGATACATTGGAGACTTACTGCCAAGTGACCAACTGGATGCAGACACAGCACACAAATAACAAGCACACTTGATAACAAGGGGACTGCTTCTGTCTAACACTTCATAACTCAACACACCGTGTGTCATGCACTTAATGCACTCGTGTGAAATAAAGAAACATTTTCTGAACTCTGGTGCCTGCAATTGTTCGTGGCTTTTGTGCGGACTATCATCCTTAGCTGTCATCATTTCCATTCCCACACCTGTCTCCTAAGTCTTCGATTAACACTTGATTAAGTGGAAACTCTGAAGCTCGGCCTACAAGAGGCCGTGACATGGGTGAACAATTTATAGGATAAAAATCACGGGAGGGATAAATTCAAGGAGGGCTGTGTTGTAATGACGCACTTCAAGCAGCCTGCACGGACAGGAAGCGCTCATTCAAGGAGAGCTCCACTGCTGCACAGGAGAGACCGGGGCCGATGGCTCTACAGGAAATGGAGTCACAAGTTCAGGCCGAGATTCAGGATTTGGAGAGTTACAGTGCTGCTCCAGAAGAAGACGTGACTGCATTTGAACAAATGCAGATTTTTGTACATGAATAAATGTAGCACTCCTCTAGGAAACTTATTTTTTTCCACCAAGCAAGATGAAATCTAATAATTCCTGTTAATTTGGCTTTTCCTTTAAAAAAAAATAACGTTCACAATCTGATTTTGTTGACTGACGAGAAGAAAATAAAAAAATATATAAACAACAAAGCCATTATTTTTATTTTAAAAAGATGAAATAGAAAAAACTTAGACAATATACTTTCCTTGCTAAAAGCTAACAAACACACTAATGGAAATAATTACTTGAATAGGAGTCCAGCTACCTATATTCCAATCCCAACCCTGGATATAATGTGAATGCTAACAGGCTGACTAAAGCACATCACCTATTCTCCCCAGCCTTGTAAAAAAACAGGGTCTGAAAAGTGACGTGGCACGAGAGACATATTACAGGGACATGTGAGGGCCATTAAAGAATACCATTAAGATCATTATTGGTCAGCCTGACTACCAAAATGGTACTACTCAAAGCACTTTCACCAGAATATATAATTGCCCAGAATTATATAATGGACCAGAACTACCCAACACAAAAAGAAATTCCACAGGAAGAATTTCCAAGATACTGATTTTGACACGTATCAGGCAGGTATGTATCGTAACATCCCAACATATTTACACATCTGGAAAGATGCTGTGTTGGGGGGAAGGCGGTTTGAGACAGGATCTATGTAGCCAGACTGGCCTTGAATTCACTATGCAGCCCAGGCTGGCCTCGAACTCAGTGATTCTCCTGCCTCAGCTTCCCAAGTGCTGGGATTATAGGTGTGTGCCACCATGCCCGGCTGAAAGTTTTTCTTTGATTTTGGGTACCGGGGATTGAACTCAGGACCTCACGCTTGCCAAGCAGGCGCTGTGCTGCTGAGCTAAATCCCCAGCCCCCAAAAGTTTTTTAATAGTCTGCAATGTAAAAGATACCTTGGCACTTTTCATTAACTTTATGCCTTTACTGAGGTATAACAGATACATATACTTACTGTGTACAATGTGATGAGTTTGGACACATGCGTGCACCTATGATATGATCACCAAAAATCAAAGTAATAATCACATCCGTTGCTTCTAAAACGTTCCTGGGCCCCTTTGCTTTTCCTTTGGTGGTGAGAACACTGAACACGACTTGGAAGATGTCCCAAGGGGCTCCGTGTCCAGAGGCCAGCTCTGAGCGAGACTCAATCAGGAATCTGAGGGCATCACAGGAGGTGGGGCCTTGGGGGTACTGGGGCATGGGTGCCCTTGAGGACCGCATCCTGTCACCCTGTCTGCACCCCTTCCTCCTGCCTGGCACTCTCCTGTCTTCTCTTCTGAGCTGCTCAGCCGGGATGTCCTGCCACCCTGAGGCTCTGCCTGGCCCATGCCAGAAACAGCAGACCTACCAACCTCAGACTGAAACTCTGAAACCAGGAGACAAAATCTAGTGTTCTTCCTTTAAATTGATTTTCTCAGGTAATTTGTCAGAGGGACAGAAAGCTGACTGACACCTTCCCTCCGGATAGGTTTTTAAGCGCCCACCACCGTATTGTTAACTCCAGGTGTGACGCGGTACAGTGCACATGACTGCAGCTCCACACACACTGAACAACTCCTCCACACGTCACCGTCCTCCCAGGCCCTGACAATCACCATTCTCTTTTCCCATTCTAAGTCTATTTTAGACACTGCAAATAGGAGGAATCGCGTTCTCCCCTTCTGTGACTTATTCACTGAGCATAATGTCTTTCGCATCCATCCATGTTGTCAGAAATGATGGGATTTCCTCGTTTTTAAGGCTGCAATCACCTCACTGCACATATGCCCCATTTTCCCTCTGTCCACAGAGGTGTGGGCTGTGTGCAGCTGTCGTGAACTGTTGCTGGCTGCTGGAAAGAACCACGTGGCGCATAGCATGCTGGCCCGGCCCGTGCACTCTGGGACTTGGCTCGCAGCCTGGGGCAGTCCAGCTCTCGAGCATGTCTGCTCCTGCCTTTCTGAAGAACGTCTCTGCACTGCAGTTTGCAGCTGCTGCGCCAGTTGATTTCCACCCGCGGCATCCAACCGTGTGGATTTCCTCACAGCACCACCAACATGGATATTTTGTTGCTCTTTATTTTCTGATAGGAGCCACCTGACCAGACGTGAGACAGCGTCTAGCTATGGTACTGACCAGTGTTAGCCCCACTCCTACAGCGGCCGGCCATGTGTAATTTGAGAATATTTACGCAGGACCTTTGCCCATCTTTGATCAGGCTGCTTTTTGTCACAGACGTCACAGGAGTTCTTTACATATTTTGGAAATCAGCCCTTATCAGATACATGGCTTGCAATACCTTGTCCCACTCTACAGCTCTCACTGTGCACATGTTTGGCCTTTATTTGTCTATTTTTGCCTCGACTTTTGGCGTTAGACCCATGAAATCACTGCCAAGAGCAATGTCACGCGAGTTGGCCCTTGTTTTCTTTTAGGGTTTTACAGTTCTAGGTCTTATGTGCACGTCTTCAATCTATTTTTGAATTGCTTTTGAGCACGGTATAAGATGGAGTGAATTTCCCTCTTTCACAGGTGATATCCAAGTTTCCCGACAGCATATGCTGACGACATTATCTTCTTCCATTGTACGTTCCTTGGCACTTTGTAAAAACTTCGAGTGATCATAAATATGTGGGTTCATTTCTGGGATCTCTCTTCTGTTCTGTTGGCCTACATGCCTTTCTGCCAGTGGCACATTTGAATTACTGTGGCTTTGTAATAAATTCGGAAAGCAGAGGCCTGATGCCTCTACCTTGATCTTTCTCAAGATTGCTTTGGCTATTCTGGGTTTTATTTCATATGAATTTCAGGATTTTTTTTTTTCTATTTTTGCAAGAAATGCCATTTGGGTTTTGATGGGAACAGCAATGAATCCGCAGATTGCTTTGGGTGGTAGGGACATGGACATTTAACATGAGGAGTATTAGGTCTTGAGCCCAGGAGGATGGGACGTTGTCCTATTTATTTGGATCTTCCTTCATTTCTTCTATTATATTTTCATTATATTATAGTTTTCACTGCCTTGGTTAAGTTTATGCCCACACATTTTATTCTTGTTGATACTGTTATAAACAGGATCGTTCCTTTAATTTATTTTTCCGTTTATTGGAATATAAGTGTATGTTGATTTTGCACGCCATCTGAGTCAGGTCTGTATTTGTATCACAATGCTTCTTGAACCCACACTGTTGGAAATGAATGAAATCAGGCCACACTCAAGGTCAGAGAAGAATCACCATGTTGCTCCAGATATCCTGTTCCTTCCTCACAAACACTAATGAAAGAAGAAACTGAGAAAGCAGTGCACAGGTACTTGGCAGTCCCTAGACTATTTCACTGTAACAACTCTACAGTGAACGTTATTTTCATATCAACACAGGAAAATTGAAACTGAGAAAGGTAAACAACTTGCTCAATGTCACAAAGAATGCAAGCATCAACTGAAGTCAAACAAGGCCCGACAAACACCCAACCGTGCAGCTGCCTGCGACAGCACCCAACCTTCAGGCCTCACGACCCACACCAACCTCTAGCAAGTCCCACACGAGGCATGGCTTTTCCTCCAAAAGACAACAGGGGCAAACATCTGTCAGGGAAGGCCAAACATGAATTATTAGCCTACTGATAGCATTAATCTTCATAATGATTCAGAATTACTTACATCCAAAGAAACGAAAGGTCAGAAAGGTTACACAATCTGCTGCAAATTAAAAGGATGATACCACTATGTGCCAGTAGAGCATATTACAGCTTCTAAAGCACTTTTTCACCAATCCATACAGAATTAATCACACAAATATTTATTAAGCAACTACCAGGATTCATTCTCAGAGCCTGGAAAACATCAGTGAACAATACAGGCAGAAATTTCTACCCTTATGAAACGCGTATTCTTCCAGGAGAGAAGAAACAGCAAATACCAAAAGAAAAATATATAGGACATTAGAAAATGATTAAATACTCTGGAAAAGATAAATAGAAAAGGCAAGATAAGAGATTCAAAGTGTGGTGCAGGAATGAGCTTGAAAATAAGGCAGTCAGCGTAGGTTTACTTGAGAAGGTAAGATTTGCGCAAAAACATATAGGTGTGAAGAATTTCACCAAGCAACCGCCTGGCAGTCTACTGCTCCCGGGAGAAAAAACACCCAGCCCAACAGCTCTTGAGGAGAGCTCGAAGAGCGGCAGACAGACCGCATGGATGACGGCGGGGAGGCAGAACCAGGAGCTGGAGCTGGAGGGGTGGAGAGGGACAGGGCTCTCGGGTACCACAAGGACTATGGGACTTGGAGAGTCTACGGTGGGCTGAGGGCGTTACAAGGAGGACACGCCCTGACTCTCCGTGCACAAAGCACACACTGGCCACTGAGCTGAGAAGTGACCAGGGACAGGGAGGTCAGAAATCCAGCCCGGCCACCTGCATGTCCAGCCTAGGGCAGGTGGGCTGGGTTTACGTGATGACAACAGGTTGCTGCCTGTGAGAATTGACTCTGCCAACATCTGCTGCCACGCTGGCTAGGCAGGGGCAAGGGAGTGCATGCAGGCTCCTGAGCTGAGCAGCTGGAGGGGTTCCACCAGGATGACAGAGACCACGGGGAACAAAGGGGGACACGCTTGGATTCTGTCAGCCGGAGGCCTCCAGGGGCTGGGAAACAGCCAAGTCTGAGTTGGGACAAAAGTCTGGTCCAAATAGAAATTGGGTAGTTTTTCAGCATTTAAATAATCTTTACAACCAGGAAATTCAAATTGCTAAAACTGAAGAAAAGATCTTTTGTACAGTACAGTCACTGGCTCCATTGATGCAGCTGAAAGGCAGTGACGCGCCAAGGCCAGACCCAGGAAAAGCAGTCGCAGCAGAGCCGACACCCTTCTCGCTGAACTCCAGAGAACACGGCACCGATCTAGCATGAGTAAACGGCTGGAAGGTAACTAAGGGGAGTTCAACTTCCACACAAGACTCCCCAGGTACTAGGCACAGACTATGAAACCATTTTCTCCCCCGAGGCATTAACTGTCTGGCATAGTGTTAGGACTCCAAAAATGTTCATTTAATAAGTGAGAAAGTTTGCCATATAATTCATAGCCCAACCTTACTGAGACTTGTCAATGTGGTTATAATTAATATCCTCACTTACCTGATATTTAAACCAATGAAATTCGTCCATGTGAAAATATAATCTCCACCAAAGACCATTCCAATATAAGTTATTAATATATTCTAAAAAGAAAAATGGAAAAATATTGTTACACAGGCTTAACTGAGATTTTAAAAAGTACACATAAACTCATCTATGCTGAGCCCAAATATCTATCCTTAAAATACAAACAGACAATTAACAAGAGAAACCCATCAGCCTCAGCTGAGCGCAGGGTGGCAAGGACACAGTAGGAACCTGTGAGGCTGGCTTGTTCCCAATCTGCTCCCCTTGAAGACAAATGCTTTCATGGGTTAAGAACACGAACGAGAAGTCAGACTGCCCCTGCCTGGGTATGGCAACAGGAGGCCTCTCCCTCCTACTGGATAACCATAGGCTTTCGAGGGGACAGTGAAGAAGGAAGGCCTGCTTGTGTGCAAGCATCCTCCTTAAGAGGAAAAGGGGATGGTGGGGACTTAATGAACATGGAGACTGTGGGAGCAGAATCTTCTTGGTATCTGAAACTGATGAGAACAGATACTACACTTGATCTCAGCCAAAAGGCCAAGAAGTGATTCTTCTTGGTATCTTAAAAAACACCTGAGATGTCATTTCAAAGAATTATGTCTATAATTTCTCCCATGATACCCCAGCTGCAAACTTGTTCTTCCTCCCTTAAAATTATCGTCAGATTACAAAAGCAGAGAATGACTTTCAGCACTATATTAAACTACTATTTACTTCTGCCCGGATCTCCTTTCTTTCACATTTGTAAGTGACTGCTGATCCTGGCAGGATACGCTGTCAGGAGGGGTGCAGGTGGAGGAGGAGGTCCCAGGGCTGCCTCTGGAGCGCTGGCCACCACTTTTGCTGGTGCTCTTCTCCTGAGCGCTGCTTCCCAGCTGCCGTGAACTGAGCAGCTCTGCCTCACCAGCCCTTCCGCCAGGACATTCCTGCTTTGCAGCAGCCAGCCATGGACTGAACCCTCAGAAACCGTGAGCCAGATTAAACTTTTCCTCCTTGAAAGTTGCAGGTGTCAGATATTTTGTCCCGGTGATGGTAAAGCTGACCAATACAATGATTTCTCAAACAAGGTTCTCTATAAGGGAAAGACACCAACCTCCTCCAAATGGAACTTACTAGGAAGTAGAGAACATCCTGCTAGCTGAGAGCCAAGACTGCAATGCTCAAACTTCAGTATCCCTGGAAATTATCTGAAAACCCTGATTAACAATGAAGATTCCCAGGCTCTCTTCTATGGCTGTGACTCAGTATGTATATCTGTAGAGGCCCAGGAATTTCCATTTTTTCACTCACAATCCCAAGTGATTGTCCCACAACCTCAAAGAGAAAAAAGGAATCTGACCGAAGGGTTTGTGGGGCTGAGAGCTTTAAGTGCAGAAGGAAGCACCAAAGCCCCTTGGGAGGACAACAGCACAGGAAAGGCCGCTGTGGTGCGTGAGGCTGCCCAGCAGGGCTTTGTGGACACCCACCTGGTGAAGGAGCACCATGCTCAGAGCAATACTATGCAGCCAGGAGCAGAAGCAACAGGGTCCTATCGATGACCCATTTTCTTCTTTCCTCTACAGTTAGAAATAAAATGAGTCCTTCTGGACTGAGCAAGTCTATGGGATTCCTGGACTACTGTGAGAGCAGTGTTGTGTCCAAAGAAAAGTACAGACTTTATGTCAATGGGAACATTACTGTGCTTGTGTCCCATGATGGCCACGGCAATGTGCAAACAGCACCGTTATCTAAATTAAACTTCGGCTTTCCTGCACCTCTCGTCTCTGCCGGCTGCCTGTGTCGCCTGTTCCAGACACAGTTATTCTGCAAATGCGAGCAGTCCCTCCAGCTTGAGTCATTCATTTTATAAACCAAAACCCAACCGAGCTGATTGGGGGATGAAACAGCGTCAGCCAGCCCAGTCCCTTAAATGTAGATTATCTCTGCTCTGTGGAACTCAGGCAATTGACTTGTCAGATCTAATTTAGAATTCTCTGCCTGCCAAACACTCCAACTCCACAACCTGATGCCACAGACTCAAATTTTAACCCAGTCTGGTCTCTAACACGGGATGCAGTGGGTCCCTCTCTACTGGGTGCGGAGAGAACAGCAGACCGGTGGAAATCGTCCCTCTGTGGACCTGGCCACTGCAGACAACTGAGACGTCAGGAAGGACGTGCAGGATGGCGGCCCTCCCTCCCCAGGCACATGGGCCCACTCAGGCTTGCCTTGTGCCAGAACACAGGCCTGCTTTGCTAATCGACCCGGGATGTGGATGTGCTGTTGCGCTGTACAGCTCCAGGACCACAAGCCAGACGAAAGAGGTCGCGGGCGTCAGTGCAATTCACTGTCTCCGGGCTGAAGACAAGTGGGTCTCCTCCATGAGTCCCACAGGGAAATGACATCATGGAAAGGTCACACGAGGCTCAAGCGTAGGAAAGTTCCTGGATCAGCTTCCAGCAGCCGTGCTGGCCCCACAGCAGCCCAGACAGAGTGAGGTGGACAGCAGCATGAGTCTGGCTGGTGGCAGCAGGCGGGCCCATCCCTGCCACACCGCCAGCTGCTACTACTGCTTCCTCCTGCAGCCGAGCTGCTCCAAGCTCCTCCGCCCACATCACTCAGAGCTAAGTGCCCACAAGGAGAGGCTACACCTTCCACGAGCTCCTAAAGATTGTTCTAGAAACCATCGCCCAATTTGTCAGACTGTGGAGCCAGTCTGAGAAAATGAGGACCACAGGACTGAAGGCCATACCCGACTCTTATTCCAGGGGAACAGTTTTCATACCTGGCGGGCACCCAAAGATGACAGCATTTTTTCCAGCTCACCTTAATACAGCCGACAATGGTGGTCGTGAGGGCAGAGTTGTACTGTGTGCAGAGCACGATGGCATACATCAGGATGAACCTGGGGCCAGGGAGAGAGGCGTGTCACAAGGAGGGCCCTCAACGCGCTGTCTCTGCCACCCCGCAGCGCCGTGACCGTGACCGGAGAGCAAGGTCCCAGGCACTCTGGACCCAGGCGGACGGCTCTGAGCGCACAGCGCCGCCCACAGGACCACGTGGCCTCTGGGTCGGACAGCCGGCGGTGAGAAAGATTCGGTGGGATGGAAAGAAACCAGGCGAGGACCAGCGGGGGCCGGGCGGGCTCATCAGCCACTGAGCGGAGCTCCCTCATCTGCACGGCGGGGCAGCCTTGGCACTCTGTGGCCTGGCTGGTCTTAAAAACCTGCCCGTGCCAGGCCTTCACCGACAGAGCTGAACCGACGGCCGAGGGGACCAGGTGGGCTCGCAGGGCCCTTTCCCACATTCCCGTCTACGAGGAAGACAGGCTGGTACAAAGAGGCCAAGCGGCCCCACACGCAAATGCCACCACTGCCACCCCACTAACTCCCTTAAGCTTTGATCCCACTGTCTCACAAGGAGCAACAGCACGTGTCAAATGGCCACTAGAGAAAGCAACATTAGCACAGCTGAAACACAATGCTGCTTATCACACAGCAGGTTCCGGGATAAACATCGGTTTTCTTCTCCTTTCTAAGCAGGGCTTGGGATCAGGGCAGCAGTCCTGAGGCCATACCAGGGGCTCGGAGCCACCTTGGAAGCGGAGGCGTGCTCATCCCAAGCTGGAGACTCCCACTTGGGAGACTGAGAAATGGCAACAAATCTCCCCAGCCACTTCCCCAGAGAACGCATCTGCCGCAGGCAGCGGGGGCTCACCCCATCACGCAGGAGAGGGCGAACTGCAGAAGAAAGAGGGTGTCGGCCCAGCCTTCAAACTCCAGCGCCTGGAACACACAAGAAAACATCAGGCATGAGACAGGCCCTCGACCTCAGCCATCTCAGTCGTGAACGGAGACGCTCTTGTGAACGCGCCCCAACATGTTTGCATGCATGCACGCACACATGCACAGGGGCAAATATCCGCGTGTTTCCCTCCACGGACAGAGCACTGCTGAGCAGTTCCCAAGTGTGGGCTGCAGCCAATGAGCACTTTCACATGGCTCCTCCTTCCCAAGACATGACATGGGCAGCGTCTGGACCTCTCCCTACTGGTGCAAAGAAATCGCTCTTTCCTGGAAAGCATAACGCATCTGGCTACACACACCTGGCCTCTCCCAGATGGCTGATATCGCCCACGCACACATGCCACAGGCTTTCTGGGAGTAACAACACATGGGGGGAGGGGTCGGGTACAGCGTGGTTACAAAAGCCCACTTTAACACAGCTGATTCAAAATGCAAGTCTTCTGCTGCTGGTATTGTTTGTTTGTCTGTTTTAAACCAAAATGAAAGAGCAATGAGAGGGCGCACGGCTCGGTCACTCTCGTCCGAGAGGGTGGTCTCTCTCTTGAGCGGACCCCTTTGCAGTCCAAGCATGACAAGCACGGGTGAGAAACGCTCCCCTCTCGCCCCGCCAGCCTGTCCAGCTCCACTCCCACTGCTCCCTGTACACCCGAGCTCTGGGCTGCGGCAATGCCTGCTCCTCCTGCTTCACAGACAGAGGTACCTCTCCACCTGCCCAGCTGCCCTCAGCTAAACGCAGCCTCCTTCGTGCCCAGCATGTGTTCCTGGGCTCTCGTCTCTACTGTCCCACAAGACATCCATCCCAGTGCCCAGCTCCACGCTCAGCAGACAGGGGACCCGCAGTCTGTGCACGGCTTTCTTGCTGAGGTAGAATATCTAGAAGGGAACACCCACCAATGTAAAGTGTACGATGCGCTGAGCTCCAACAGTCGTAGTCAGGAAACCACTATTCCACCGGGATAAGGACATCTCCATGCCCACCCCTGGCCTGGCCCAGTGGCCTCTGTCCCTTTGCTCAGTCCTTGGAAAGCATGCGCCGTGCGTGTGCTCTACCCAAACTCGGGTGCACCAGGCCTCGCTTGTTTTTGCCAACTGTCCCATCTCACAGACACAGGACAACCTGTTTATTCCCCAGCCACCAGACTTCCGTTTGGGGTGCTTCCACACTTGGCCACTGGGAACAGAGCTGCGGAGAACCGTGGGTGGAAGACCGTGGCCCCCTCTTTATCATCTTGGGTGCAGATCCAGAACACAGGCTCGCTAGTTCTCCTGGGTCCATTTACTTGCCAAGAAACCGCCTAAGTGGAGGCATGGAGGAAAGGTAGCCAGTGCTGAGCAGGACCCACGGCCCGGCTCCCAGGGCGGTCACGGAGCTCACTGATGGAGCCGGGGGCTGGGACCCCACTGAGACAGGGGAGGGGAACCCAGGTCTCTTGGCCGCAGCTCCGGAGGCCCCGTGGGAGGAAGAGGGGACAGTGTGAGGGCAGGGCCTCGCACTGCACTCCCCAAGTGGCTTGGGCACACCATCACACAGGACGCCAAGAGCGGCCAGCCAGACAACCCAGAGCCAAGGCAGACAGACCGCGCAGGACCAGAACCAACCGACCGACCCACTTGTTTTACACAGGACGCTGAGGACCAGAACACAGAGATCTGGCCCAGTGAGGAAGAAACACTGCAGGGTCTCCAGGCCACCATGCTCCACAGGCTGACCCGGAGCAGAAGAAACCCCGAGGAGAGCTAGGGCCGGCCGTGTCTCCTCAGGGCTGAGTCAGCAGCAGTGGTGAGAGACACCAGGGCAGATGCCTGGCAACACGTTGCCTGGCAGCACATTCCCTGCGGCTTGGGACACAAGGAGCACATTGTGCAGCTGTGGTACCCACAGAGCAGCCTTGTGAGCCCACAGCAGGGCTCCGTCTCCACCCCGGAGGAGGAGGAGGAGGGGGACACACCTTGCTCCCTCACTCCTCTGCTCTGAAGCAGCCTCTGCTTTGTGGCGGCTGCAGCCCCAGCCCCAGCCCCAGCCCCAGCCCCAGCCCCAGCCCCACAGCCTGGGGCTCCGCCTGGACCTGCTCCAACCTATGGCGCCTGCGCCTGTGAATCAGGGGCCTTTGGGGACACCGGGCCAACTGCTGTCTTACAGAGGAACTTATTCCTTAAGAATGCTTGAGAAGGGCCGGGGATTTAGCTCAGTGGTTCTGCCGCCTGCCTTGCAAGCGCAAGGATCTGAGTTCGATCTCCGGTACCAAAAAAAAAAGAATGCTTGAGAAGAGACATGATTTAAAACTAAGCACTAAATACATTGGTTCTTTGGCTCCTGATAAACCCAACATTTTGCAAGCTTGAATAAACTTCATGCACACACACACGCGTGGTGTCCAGATGCTTTGCCAAGGCCCGTCCTAGTGCTGGCTGGGAAGAACCGTGCAGCTGGAGCCTGCCCAGTAGGCGGGAGGTGATTTATTTTCCACTCTCGGCCCCTGGCTCTGGAGGAAGGGCTGCCAGCCCCTCACAGCGGCCTCCAGCCAGCAGGGCTCCCACATCAGCACGTGAGCCGTCTGTGGCTCTGAAAAGGGAGCAGACCGGTCTGTCCCAGCACCCAGGTGCCCTTGACTCAGGGTTCATCACAGGTGCTAAGCATTTACAGAAATGCTATTCTTCACTTTACAGAGTCTAATTTCAAATGCCTTCATATGGTTCTACACTAGAAACCACACAGAGACAGCAGCTAGAGAGGCCCTCCGTTCCAACGCCCCTTACCCTGCTCCTACGCATACACAGCAAACCGAAGCTCCTTGGCCATTTCATGTGTACTCTTCCAGTTTCTTCAGTGAATACATGAATAAAATCCGTGAGTGTATCTGATGTTTTTACGTTACCTACAGACAGCCCATGTGGTGCTCATGCTTTGCTTCTGCACTTGACCGTTTACCTTGACAACCTCGCCTTGCACATAGGTGGGACCCTGGCGCCTGGCCGGGAAGCTGGAGACCTCGGGACGATCAGGGCGTCCTGGACCCTGATGCTCACTCTCGCTCACTTCCACCTCAAATGCATGCTGAAATGCATGCTGTTGTTCTATTTTTCATTTTTTGTGGAGGGGTATGTAGCCCAGGCTGGATCCTCCTGTCTAAGCCTCCTGGGTGCTGGGCTTGCAGGCCTCACGTGCCCTCTGGTTCTCCTCCCTTGGCCTTTCCTGGTGGTTACATCTTCCAGAATCGTAGCTCCCCTCCGACTCAGAACCTGCTCCATCTACACAGGCCTGCTACCCCTCCAGTCAAGAAAGCGGTCCCCAGTCCCCTTGGTGGGCCTTCGCTGAAAGAGCCCCGTCCGCAGCAGCAGCTCCCCACCATTCTCCTGCTCCCAAACAATCTCCGTGCAGGCTACGCCGCCCACTGGAATCCCAGCACCATTAGAGAAGGGCCTTCTTTTTCAAAAAAATGCACCCACAGACAGACACACACACACACACACACACGTAGGAGGCAGAGTGCACCTGCAGGAGACAGGTGCTGACGGTGAGCCCGCCTACCAGGAAAGCTCTGACCTGTGATGTTGCCACACACCCTGCTTGCATGCCAACCCTCGAGACTAGGCTCCCTACAAACCAGGAGCACTGTGGGGCTGCAGCGCTCCTGGAAGGAACAAACTCCCAGGAGCCTCCGGGACAGCACGGGTCACCGGGCTTCCACCAAGCAAACCGCCCAACACACGGTCCACGGACCTCAGTCCCAAGCCAGTCAATGCTACTGGCTACGTCTGGTAGACAAGGAAGCCAGACCCACTGCACCGAAGGGCACAGCAAAGACCCATGCTGGGCCCATGTGGGTCTCTCGCGAGCCCGAATCCTCCCTAGCAGCGTGCACTTTGGGCTGGGTCCCACCCGCCTCAGGGCTGGGCCAGGGTCTCCCGGTGTGGCCCGGGCTTACGAGAAGGGACACAGAGCTCGCTCCGCACAGTGAGGGGCACAGAGTCACTGATCAGAGTGAAACTGAGGCATGGCGGCTCCCTCAGGCACAGTCTGATTTGGATCTCTCACCCGCCAAAGCTCAACTTAATTCCTCACCTACCAAAACAACGCTCTTATTCACTCCATGTTTTGTCTGTAGACAAATCTCCATGAAACAGTCTCCCCTCAACCCCACTGAAAAGGCAGAATTGACCTAATTTCACTTTTCACCTCCAGTGGCCCCAGAACCCTCTTCCACAGACCCGTGAAGGCTGCTGGTCTTAGCTGGCTGGTGTCAATGGTAAGACCACCACCCAACTCCTCTTTCTCACCACGTGAGTCACGTGCTGAGTTACAGTGAGACACACAATAACCCCAACTCTGTGATAATGTTCAGAGGGAGACCACGTTAAGGAGCAATCTGCTAAGAAAAAGAGGCCAGGCATAGTGGCACACGCCTGGGATTCCAGCACTGGGGAGGCTGAGGCAGGAGGATTGCTGCGAGTTCCAGGCCAACCTAGACTGCATAGCAAGATCCTGTCTCAAGAAACAAAAAGAAAAAAACAAAAAGGGCAGACCATTGTAAGAAAGCCAGCTGTCCATTTGTACCCAATAAATGTTCACTAAGAACCACAGTAATTAGTAATTAAGAGAACAAACAAACATTTATGTGGAAACCAAATACTGATGAGATGTGACACACAATGCGTCAGCGTCTATAATTATTTTATCGTCCCAAGTTGAAAACATTTTGATGAACTAACATTCTTCAAAATCATTATTCTTCTAAAATAAACCTTTCTTGGCCTTTGCCTGGCACTTTCACTGGAAAAACAAAAAGCCTACTCAAAGTCCCGTCTTCTGCCTAAAAACAGAAGAAAGGCAGAGTAAGAAGAAAATCTCAATCTAATCCCCATGCAAGTGGCAAAGTAACTGTTCACACTGCAGAGATGTTCTCAGCTGTACTGCAGCCTTTCAAACTGGGGGGAGTCAGGAAACTTGGAAACATGCACAGATCGTGCTGTGACTTCTGTACACATTGTCATCGCTGTGGAATGAAGAAATCTCAAGTGGCTGCAAGTTACTGGTCAAAATTTCAGCTCAATAAAGGGAATTTTTATTAATTCCTTGGCAGCTCTCAGAATACCTAACCACAGTGGCTCTTCCAACTTCCCGTGTGCAGACAGGCCTGGCACGGGAGCGCTACTTAACCACACTTCTGCCAGGAGGCAGGGCAAAGGTGCTCCAGCCAGAGCCTGCGAGGAGGAGGAAGAACACGGGGGAGACCAGGCCTCTGCAGCAGGGCCAGGGTTTAAACCCCAACTCTGGGATCCATCAACACTGTGACTCCAGCCAAGTTATTTAGTCTCTCTGAACCTCCACTTCGGCCACAGGCAAAGTTCTGAGGGCTATTACGAAGACTGCGTGATAATACATATATAAAGCCACCTGCCCAAGACATGGACTCAATAAACATGACTTTCTCATCCATTTTCTTCCCAGCCACAGAATACACAGTGCTCCTGGTTAGAGCAATGGCCCTCACCCCTGCCCAGCCCATTTTCAGGCCTGCTGGAACCCTGGGCACAACCCATTCCTGCGCAGCCACATGTCTCCAAGGGGATCTGTGCTTTAAACACGAGGGCTAGGTGGGGGAAAAGCTTCCCAAGTTGCCAGAATCCTGCCTCTGTTTCAAGAACAACTTTGCCAGGTCAACTGCTTCCACAAATCTTTTATTTCAGCTCCCACTGAATTATGAGGATCATCACTGTCATGCCAATAAATGAGCAACATACTTATATGAAAGAGCCACTAGCCAGGGGATTTAGAAGGAATCCTGGGAGAAAAATCCACTGTAGAATCCTGGTTTCCAAAATTTCATGAATTCTAACAATATGGTTATTTATTTTTCTCCAATGAACATGGGCTTATTTTAGAGAAAAATTCTTTCGATTTATTTTGTCATTCTATCCTGGATTTATTTAATCAAATATCTGCAGAAAATTGGTTTTAAAAAAGAGAAAGAAAACTGATAAACTACTTTATCAATTGTTATTTATATGCTCAAAGAACTACAGAGTACTAAGTATCTCAAAGAAAAAAATCAAATTGAGATTTTTTTTTTAAAGTTTTTTTGAGACAGTCTTGCTGGGTAGTTGAGACTGGCCTTGAACTCACTAGTAGCCCGGGTTGACCTCAAACTCAGGGCAATCCTCCTGCCTCAGCCTCCCCAGTACTAGGATTACAGGTGTGCACCGCCACACCCAGCTCCCAAATTGGGATTTAAACCAGGATAACAGCTCCCAGAAAAACACAGAATTCTCATGGTGCCTATCATTTTGTTTAGGGTTTAAACAATTTTACTATTTCAGGAGTTTTTGTTTCTCAAAGATAGTTTGCTATTATTCCTATTTTCCTGTCCAGCAGAAATGTAAAAATTTCCTTCCTTTACTCTGGCAAGTAAGAAAAGGAAACAAGTGTGCACAATCTTGATGCTGGCAGAGCTATGTAAGCTGCATCAGCCCCCACAGCACGTACCAAGAAGAGGGTGGTGGGCCGTCAGCAAGCCAGACAAGGGGCTCGGTTTGCACTCACTCATCCACACATTTCCTGTCAACACGCCCACTAGGTTCCAGTCACAAGCAGTCACTAGAAGTCCTACCTTTTGTGCATCTCCCGTGAAATACGCGATGGCCAGCGTGGGCAGAATCATGAACAGCGCGTTGTAATAGAGCAGGCCATACTTTCCCAGCTCCTGCAATGGTAAATAACCCAGTCTTTCATCTGGTCCCAGCGGGCGGGTCTCACAGGCATGCAGACTTCCACCCAAGTCACGCACGTCAATCATTCGGTGTGTTTTTTGGAAGTTAAAAATGTTTTAAGGGCAAGAGCTGCATGCAAGTCTGAGAGAATGCTCAGCCATATGGATTGTGACTCAGGCTCACAGGATGGAGAGTACAAGCAGCCCTGAAATGAACAGTGATAAAACTTCGGATCTATTAAAAGGATCTCCGGTAGCAGCACTGCCTCGGGGATAAACCAGTTCGGCAGCAAGATACAAGTCATGAGGGCCTAAACAACCCTTGAGCACGGGTGCCAGGGTGCTGGACAGGAGGCAGAGGGTGTGCACACAGACCTGTCAGTCGCGCCACTGCACGGTGTCGAGCACATAAATGCCAAAACTGCCATACTTTAACTATTCTGAATGTTCTTCTCCCTGACTTCTTAAACAAGGCACTGACTGAAAAACGCTCGAAGGTGGCGTCACTGACAGGGCTGCATCACACTCTCCTGCAGTGTCGCCCTCCGTGCTGCTCAGCAGCCTGCATCACCTTCTTCTCAGTACTTCTGCCTCTCAGTTTCCTGTTTCTCTTAGACTGCTGGCCAGCCTCCACCTCTAAACAAATTCCCTCTGGTTTGTTGCTTGTAACCCATGAACTAGGAAAGGAAGGTCAAAACCTGAAAAGTAAGCCAGGCGTGGTGGCGCACACCTGAAATCCCAGCACTTGGGAGGCTGAGGCAGGAAGATCACCTTGAGTCAAGGCCAACCTGAACAACATACTGAGTTCAAGGCCAGTCTGGAATAGCAGTGTCTTGGTCTCAAAAACCCGAAACAAACAAACAAACAAAAAGCTTAAAAGCTCTAATACAAGTAACTCACAAGGTTTTTCTAAGTGAAGAACCAAAAGGGCTCTCTCTAGGAGTAAAATACTCTGAAACTCTGCTCATTTTTTTTTTTTAATTCTAGGATGGATTCTAGACTCTGCTGTCCAAAATAATAGCCTCTAGCCACATGTAGCCATTAAAAAATAATCCATTCCTCCACTATACCAGTCACTCCGCAAGTGCTTAACAGCCATGTGTCTAGGGGCTATGGGCGATGGACAGCAGAGATAAATACGATTTCCATCACCACAGAAACTGCTACTGGACAGTAGTACTTCAGACAGCTACAGCTGATAGTTATGTTATCATTACTATCTATTTTCCAGGGGCCAGGGATGTAGCTCAGTGGTTCCACCACCTGCCTCACAAGTGCAAGGACCCGAGTTCGATCCCTGGTACCAAAAAAAAAAAAAAAGAGTTGACTATCAGTTGACTATTTTTCAAAGCAGCACATAGGCTAAGGAACAAAACAGAGTAGGACCAAATCTCTAACTGCTTTCTTTTATTTAAAAAAGAGAGGGCTTGGGGCTCAGCGGCACCACACCAGCCTGGCAAGTGAAAGGTCATGAGTTTGATACCCACTACCGGGGAAAAAAAAAAGTTCACTAAAATGAAATCATCACAGGATCATCAAGGCAAGTAAACAGAGGCCAAACATAAAAGTTGTATTCAAAGAAAGTGTGAGAAACAAATCAACACTCCCCTAGTTTTTCAAGGATATTCAAATAAATGCTCTACTCCTGGGACAGCTGAACAATCTCCACTTGTTTTCTGGAGGCAACGCCCTGGCCTAGATGACACCAGCCAGACCCTACTCCCTGTGCAGCAGGGCGTCTGTGTCTGTCCATCACCCGAGGCCCAGGGAGGGCCTCAAGGGCAGAAATGCTGCACAGAGCGGAAGAGGCAGGCCACGCTACCAGGACATGGAGCCCAGACAAAGTGAGATAAAGCCAGACAGTTACAGGCTTCAGTGAGGAGCGGCTCATGAAACCTATGGTGACATCTGAGATGAGTATCTCCTGTGTGCTCAGATCTAGCACACCCCCTTCCACAGCCACCCCGGGTATGGGAAGCTCAGCCCCACACAGCGCTCTGTTCGGTAAAGTAACTCCGACATGGCTCAAAGCCTCAGCTTTCTGCCGGTCTAGCTGGATCTAGAGAGAAAGTTTGATGTGTGTATTTGGAAAGCATGTGGTAACAAACAAAAAATATCTTGAAAAGCCTTTGGGTTAGGCTGAGCGTGGTGCCGCGCGCCTGTAACCCAGCACTCTGGCAGGCTGAGGCAGAAGGACTGCAAGTTCAAGCCCCACTGGGCAACTTAGTAACTTAGCGAGACCTTGTCTCAAAATGAAAACAAAGACAACACTGGGGATGGCCTTGGGTTCAATATCTAGTACTATGTATCTATTCATCAATTGCTGTGTTTCTATATCCCACACTTCCCCAATGAACTGACACAGTTTCCAACACCAGCAAACATCTCATAAAAAAGCTTTAGACTGCTACCTACTTTTGAGTCTAATTTTTGTTTTACATATGCACCATTTGCTGCCGTCAGGACATCATTTATCAGAATAAAAACATATCCTTCCAGATCAAATGCCAGGTCCGAGCTGCAAAACATAAACAATACATTAAGAACAACTTACACTTAAAGATCATGCATTTCATTTTCAGTAACTTCAAACTACGCTATTTGCAAGAACATATTCTTCTCTGGGTACATGAACATAAGGCATTTACCAACCACGAGTATTTCTTCAACCCTGGTCACAGTGGTAACTTCACACTCAGGCACAGATTCTTTAGAAATGAGAAGCACTGAGGCTGAAGCACCAGTACAATGCTCTGGATGCAGTCAGGTAACAAGCAACCGACTCACCACCACAGCCCATCTGCGAGGCAGGCACAGGCACCGATTCCACAGGTAAGAAAAGCAAAAGGATGAAGCTGTCAGACCCTCACTTCCCAAAGGCTCACACAAAAGACAGGACTGCCTTGCACAGGTGGTGCACAAGGGCAGGATTTCTGAAGCAAGGACCTTGGTTAATCATGAGATCCAGCCACAGCAGTGTCTAAACACCAGTGCTGCAGTAGAAACTAACAGCTAACTGCCTGCTGAATTTGTGGAGCTTAACTAGTGAGACTGGGGAAACAGAAAACTTCTGCTACTTAGCAGGGAGACAGGCACAAGAAAAGAAGTCAGGACATCTAACGTGACACAGGAAATCTGAGCAGAGCTGGCCTTCAGCACTCGCTGGCACCCTAGCCGGAGCGGCCAGATACTATGCACTGGGGGCTGAACACGAAACGGAGCGGACAGCGCGATTTCAGATGGGGAGTCTGACAGCCCTCACCGCCTCAGACCCTCTCTCCCACCTTCTCTCCAGCCAAGGTTCCAACTGGATGAGGCTGGGCTCGGCAGCAGCCCTCCTGAGCTTTCTGTAGGCCAGGCTCATCCTGAGGAGACCCTGCTGCTCGGCACATTCTGATCCCACTTCCAGGCCAGTAGGCACTTCAAACCGAAGGCAAGGAAGGACCAGACTGTTCCCGAGCACAGGGAGGGGCACCACCCAGGTGCGTACAGAACTGCATTCCAGTAACCAATGCTCCTGCTCTTTGTTGTGTGTGTGGTGGTTTTTTGTTTTTCTGTTTTTTGGTATGAAATTTCACTTACAGATTTTAAGGTAAACCAGAATTTGACTTCTACACCCCCTCTATGGCACAGGGACAGGATGAAAGCACAGGAGCCAGGCCAAGAAGCACCCTGAACCCCCAGACGGAACACTGCTCGGACTGCGGTCCCCGCACACCCACAGCTGCACACCCTGGGCTTAGTACATGTGAGGCAGCTTCCGGGAGCTACTGGGAGTTTCTGAGTCTTCAGGCACACACGGACACCCACTTCCTTTCCAAGGAACTGTGCATGTCCAGGTGCAGTGTGACAATTCTACACCTGAACGCAAGTGTAATGATCAAATCAGGCCAACCGGCATGTCCGCTCCTTAAACAGCATCATTGCCTTGTGCTTTCTCCATGTGTTTTTAAACAGTAACTGAAGAAAAGTGGGAAAAGCATTAGAAGCCTAACCGCATATCCAGGTTATGATATTTCTATCTTAAGTGAGGCCCAATAAAGCAATGCTATCATTATTCATTAGCCCACCCGGCGAATGGCTCATCATTCACCTCACCTCACGAAGGGCAGATGCTGTTTAACAGCACACAGGGGAAAGGAAAGCCACACGGCTTATAAAATTTAAGTTCCAAAGTCAGACACAGACTCAAGTCCCAGCTCCCCTCTGACCAGCCCTGCGACCCCAGCATGTTACACAACCTACGTTTTAGTTTCCTCAACTATAGAATAAGAAAATTATAGCCATATCTCCCAGAGGTGTAGTAAAGAATACATAAATGACATGTGCTCAGTGCTAAACATATTGTGTGGCACATGGTATAGCCTCAGTACTAAGAATACAGTAACAAATCCTACATTGCAGGAATTAAACTTTTACAAATCCTCAATATCAGGATTATTTTCTTAGCCTTAATCTTAAAACAGCCAAAAAGATTTTACCTTTTATAGTCTTTTGAACACATTTCAAAGATAAGAATCTTATTTAGGCTACAAAGAATTATTCTTATTGATAACTGATCATTTATTATTAATAATTCTTGATTATTTCTAATGTGCTATTTATAGGCCCATATCTTACCTGGCAGCTACAAAGGCGCCAATAATCATTGCAAATACAGTCATTTTAATTCCCCAAGAAAAAGTCTTCCTACAAAACAAAATAATTAAAGATCTATACATGTGACTTTAGTTATTCATATACTCATTTTACAACAGGTTTAAAAAAGTGGTATTTTTTTCTTCAAAAAAGACATAGACAATCATATTTTAAACATTTCCAAGAAACTAGATATTTTTTCAAAAACCCTTGATGAAGTTAAAAACTCATTCTATTACACAAATAATCATTTTCACTTTTTTCTTCCTACTAATTATTATTAGTGAGTTAGAAGGGGTTTTTTTTGTTGTTGTTGTTGTTTTTGGTACCGGGGATCAAACTCGGGTCCTTGCGCTTGTGTAGCAGGTGGCGGAACCACTGAGCTAAATCCCTGGCCCCGAGTTAGAAGTTTTATACATCGGAGTTTCTTTAAGTACAAAAAGAGCACACATCTGCAGCACAAGCAGCCACGGCAGGACAAGGACACTACTTACACCCCACATCTCCGGCCCAACCAGGCCGGCTTCCCTGGGGCAGCGACAGACCTCGGCCTCTAGGAAGGACTCTCCTGTCAGACAGGCTTCCAGCTGGGTCACCCTGCTCCTCCTGCCCACCAGGGATCCCCTCAGTGGGGAAGGAAGGCTGCCCCATCTCCTCACAGGGTGAAGCGGAAGCGAGACACGTAACGTCACGTGTCACCACCCGCTTCACGGTGCCTCCAGTTGTTAAAGAGCAGATATGTTAGAAACAGAGCTCACTTGAGTAAAACTCCTTCTGCAAGCATGGTGAACAGGATGGAGAACCTTCTTAGAACTGTGAACATCGGCAAGCTGCAAAAATAAAGATAATCAGGGGAAATAAAGCTTAACAGTTTATTTTTTTAAAACAAAGATTTCCCAAATTGATAGTTAAAATAATGTTAATCTCCTTCTCCCATTATGGAAATTCTATGCTGATTAACTGGGATTAAATTAAACACTTCTCTCTAGAATTAATTCTTGCTTTTCTTTTTTTTGGTACCGGGTATCCAACGCAGGACCTTGTGAGGCACACATGTGCCACTGAGCTAAACCCCCAGCTCTAGAAACAATTCTCATTTAAAAACCTTTAGAAAGTTGCTTTAAGAAAATTACTAAAATTGAGAAAGATTATATTAACTATAAAATGGTAGTGATCCTGCATCTATTATCACAGAATAGTAACACCCTTCTAACTTCACTCTGCTAACTATACAAACACACTGACTGAAACTGCGTTCGTCTGTGAGAGAAAATGGCTATTTGTCCTTCTTCACCAGACTGACTTCTCTTTCTACTCCCCAGACCACTCAGAAAACATCTATGAAAGCCTTTCCCCCTGAACCACTCCTCAACTGTCCTTCAGTGGCAGTCTTCTACATTCCCAGAGCACTTTGCTGGTACTAATCAAACATCCAGCCTCTTACAATCCAGTTATTTCTAAACATATCTCATTCCAAAGTGCCTTCCACTTAGCTGGCAATCAAAGGTAGCGTATGGGGCCAGGGATTTGGCTCAGTGGTTCTGGCACCTGCTTCACAAGCGCAAGGTTCTGAGTTCGATCCCCGGTACCAAAAAAAGAAAAGGTAGGGTGTGGGTAGGTGCTTGGGTGGATGGAGGGAGGGAGGGGTATGGGTGGATGGATGACAATGGGTAAAAACAAGCAAACTTTACAAGCAGCACCCTGAGTAGCCCTGAATTTCTTTCCAGGTGGGAGATGAGATGGCCAAAGATGGCCCACCCATGATACATGTGACTTCCTTGGGACTCTCCCCAGAGAAAGCCTTGGACACTCAGCTTCTTGGTTTAGAAAAGCAGGAAATGGAAAATGCTCTGCCTCTGATCCACAGGGATCTCCTATTCTGTTTCACCCTCACCCAATCCACCGGGGTTTCAGCTCCTGGGGGAAAGGGGAAGCCACGGTTTCTGTTGAAATGTGTCCCTCTGCACATGGTCAGAGTATCACACACACCCAGGGCTTTCCAACAGGTGGAGAAGCCCGAGCAGGGTAGTGAGAGGGCAGAGACAGCGCTGCCAGGGCAGAGCTGAGGCCTCTTACCGAGCGCAAGCCCAGAGAAAGCACCAGGGAGACACTGGTGCTGCTTCCTGGTGATCACAGCTCCTTTGTATGAAAAGAAAACCTGGACATTCTCATGTCTGTCCTATGAGTCCATGGGGGGGGGGGGGATTTGCCTAAACTACAGCATTTATGACTCAACTAAAGAATGGAAATCTCAGAAGCCGATCCTCTCTCTCACCATTGCAGGGATGGTAAAATAATGAAAATCTCTTATCACAGCATTGTACAACATTTTAAGACTTTTCACATCAAAGTGAGGGGGGTAAAACAAACCAAAAAACTAGTTTCTCTTCAAAAGAAGAGCTTAACCTAAAACCTGTGGGGCAACCTTCATTATTCAGTGTTTAACAGAAGTTTTCTGGTCATTTTGTTTTTTCCAGAATCAGTAACAATGCATTCATATTTAACATTTATTAAAGTACAACTCTAAAAATACATTATATTAACCTCATTAGTAAAATAAAGTTATCCATACTTCAGTCTCTTTGTGCTGAACAGTCCCGTGATTTGGTTCCCAAAATATAGGAGAGGTAGTGGAAACGTCTAGAAAATTTAAAAAGGGATAGCAAAACTCAATAATAAAAAGAGCTTCAACAAGGTCCTTGCAAACAGCAACAGTTTCGTTTACATAATCAAATTCTCTCCATTTGAAACATAAGATTAGTTCTCATAAGCAATTCTGACCCCCATGAAGCACCCCAACAACACAACTCTCCTTTGATGCAGCAGAGAGGGAAGAGGGAAGGGAAGGAAAGAAACAGAAATAGGAATATGATCAACTGACAAGGGACAGAAACAGTCATTGCTTTAAAATGGGATCGTGCAGCAGCCTGGCTGTCCGCAGGGAGAGGGTGGACGTCAGCAGAAGCAGGAGCGGCCTTTACCGTCCTGGGGTCAGCAGAGGCAGGCAGAAGAGCAGTAATCAAAGAGTAATGAGTGTGGGATAACTGGCATGGAAAAAACTCGCTTGTATTCCCAGCAAGTATGCATAAATTAAAATAGAAGAAGATTCCTGGGGATTTTTATTTGCTGAATTTTAGAGAGCTGGATCAGTCCACGCCAAGCGCTGGAGGCTAGGGGATGTCAGGGCTGCAGTTTTTAAACATGCAAGGCAACAATAAAGTCACTAGTGACCCTGTTCCACGAGACAAACCGGGGCTTTTCCCCTTTCCCTCTTACCTTCCGAGGTATATTTCTGTCCAAGTCAGGGAACTTGACCACTCTCAGCGCCTTGCCCACCCAGAGCACCGCCACGGTGGCCAGCATCTGCGGACAGAGAACACAGGGCCTCTGTGCTGTGCCACCGAGGCCAAGGACGCCGTGCGGTACGCGGCTGGCGCCCACTCACCTGGCCAAGGCCCACACACAGCGAGGAGGGAAATCTGGGGAGAGAAGGGCGGAGAGAGGGCAGTCAGAACACCGGAACGCGCGGCCCTGAGAATTCAAGGCACACATCCGCAGCCCGGCTAACACTTTTTGCCTTCAGTTTTGGGGTGGAACCCTGGCCCTTCGCACTGACCTGCAGCCCTGGCCCTGCTGTTTGAGGCAGGATCCCGCTAGGTCGCTAAATTGCCTGGGCTAGGCCCAAACTCGCGGTCCTCCTGCCTCAGCCTCCCGGAGTGCTGGATGACAGGCGTGCCCGGCATGCCTGCTTTGGGGACACCCAGAGACGGGGTCTGCCCGCCTGCAGCAGGCTCCTCGGGGACACGAAGACACCGCTATAACGATTCCACACTGCCCACCGCTACCAAAATAAATACGGAAACTCTCGAAATCCCTTTTCCCGGGCTGGGTGACCGCAGCCTGCGGCCCCGGGCACGAGGCGCGCGTCCCGGCCAACGCGCCGCCCTCGCGCAGGGGGCCCGAAAGTCACCGGGCACAGCGGCCCCGCCGGGACGGATGTTCGGGTGCACCGCGCCGGCCGGACCCGCGCCGCGGCCCCGCCGGGAAGGGTGTTCAGGTGCACTGCGCCGGCCGGACCCCGCGCCCCCCGCCGCCCGATCCGCCGCCCCCGAGGTCCCCCGGCTCCGCCCGCTCGACCCCGCCGCCCTCGGCGACCAAAGTCCGGGCGCCCGCCCGGCCCGCCGCGGCCTACCTGTAGCTGCTGAGCACGTTCTTGTTGACCACCACGATGAGGAAGGAGCTCACGCCGTAGAAGCCGGCGGCCAGCAGCCTGAGCAGCACGGTCAGCGGCTCGGCCGGCGCCATGCCCAGCGCCTCCGCATGTCTGCGCGCCGCGGGGCCGGCGGGGGCTTCGCGAGGCGCCCGGGCCTGCTGACGTCTGCGAACTTCCGCCATGGCGGGCCGGGCCGGGCCCGGACGGGGCCGGGACGGGACGGGGACGGGACGGGGACGGGACAGGGCCGGGGCTCCCAGCTGGGACCGCGCCGCCGCGCCGAGCTCTGCCGGCTCCCGCAGCCGCTGTCCGCGCCGCCCAGAAGGACGCGGTCACATCCCGGACTTTGCCCCGGCCGCGGGGCGGGGAACGCGGCCGCTGGGGAGTGACGCCCGGGCGGGGACGCCGGCCGCACTGCGCCTGCGCGGGACTCGCGGGAGCCCCTGGCCTCGAGGCGCGATCTGTGGACCGGGCCCGCAGACCCTCCTGCCTCTGCTTCAGCGGGGCTAGGAAGGGGCCGAAATACGGGGCGTGTGTAGATTTTTAAAGTGCATTACAGTAAAAATCACATTGCCATGGGCCCCCTCAAAATCGTCCCCCTCCCTTGCAGCACACTGATCCCATCGACCTGGCCACTTTCTGAATAGCTCTGGAGTTGTTTCCCCAGTGTCTTTAGTTGCACAGCCTGGGTGTCGTGAACTGATTCAAAATGTTTACCCAAAGGATAAATAAGTTAAAGAGCAAAATGAAAGACAATAGGAAACAGGGAGGTAGATCTTTGCAACAGGGAAGGGGACAAAAAGGAAGAAAAGGTGTGTTATGGACATGCACCCACTCCCCACAGTGAGTGGAGTCATGTGGTGCAAACATGTACTACTAATAGAAGAAACAAGTTTCTTTCCTGGTCATCCTGACTGGAGAAGAGCCAGAAGTGTCACGGTGCCAGGTCCCGTGACTAAGGTGGACAAGGACACAACGTCGTGTTTTTGGCAGGAAATGCTGTAAACTTTTGGTCCACGAGGTGTGATGGTGAAATACAGTTAGTGTTTACATTTTTTAAATGTATTGTAGTAAAAGACGTGGCCAAGAATGATGGGATAAGCTTGCAGGGTTGAGTATTTTGAGCAGAATTGGTGACAGTGTGCCTTTCACTGTAATTCCTTTTTAACATGTCAACATTCACCATGCTTTCCATCGCCGCTGTCACGTTCTGTCTGGACTCATCTTGGCTCTGGACTCTTTTTGTCCCTCTTGCAGAAGCCAGAGCACTTATTATCAGAAGTGACTCAACAGAAAACACTCAACAAACATTTTATTCTGTGGTGCCTCAGCTTGCTCATACTTTCTGAACCTAGAAGACCCCATACAGTACTTTCTCTTCAGATCAAGGAGGAAATTTTTAAGAAAACTGTTGACATATCAAAAAAAAAGTGGCCAGATAATTAACCTGCATGGGGATTGGTAAAAGCGTGAGGTGTTTGGAGTGGGAAAGGCTTGAGTTCCAATTCTAGGATTCCTGGAAATGACCCCCAGCCCGGGCTGTGTGCCCTGGGGCCAGGTAGATGACTTCTCTGATCCCACATCTGCCTGTCTGGGACCTAAGCTGCCCCGGCACGGCCCTGGGGTAAGCAAAGGAATGACCCATCTAATGAAACTACAACAAAGAATTGTTTGAATTGTTTCTCTAAATGCTTGGTCTGTATATTTTTATTTCTTTTTTCCTTTAATTTCGAACTGTGGTAAAAATACACACGGAGTTGATCATTTTAACCCTTTGGGAGCGTTCAGTCCAGTGGCGCTGAGTACACTTGCATCGTTGTGCAGCTGTCGCCACAAACCCACTTCCGGATCGCTTCCTCGGCTGGTCGGCTGCAGCAGAGCAGTCTTCTCTTCGGAGCTCCTTCCCTCTCCACCTGCTCTGTGTACCTCCAATGAGTGGGACCATGCACTGGCAGGGTGTCTCCCAGTGCACCCTGTCAGCCAGAGGCAGAGTCTCGAGGACCGGCCCACTCCAGGGTGCTATTCCGCTTCGCCGCCTGCGCTGCAGTGAGGTCAGCCAGGATCCCTGCTGTGTGTCCTGACGCCCCTCCACCACCTCCTGTGGACAAAGCTGGGCCTCTTTTTCGGGCTTCTCTCCTATGTCCTCCAGTCCCAGCTTCGTGCCCGCCTTGGTGGAGCCTTTTGCTCAAAGTGCCTCAGGCTGGGTCGCTCATAAAGGACACACGTTGCGTCTCACTGGAGGCCCATCTGTGACTGAGTCACTGGTGTTGAGTGTGTGGCAAGGTCAGATTCAGCTTCCAAGATGAGGCCTTGAGCCCTGTGTCCTCAGAAGGTCAAGGACACAGTGTCCTTGGGTGGCAGGAGGGACAGAAAGTCAAAGAGGTGATCAAGGTCCACAGGTTCTTTTCCAAGGCCTGACGGAATTCGCATTCAGGAGTCTCCCTCCTGAGGCCTGCTTCTCAATGCCGTCACATTGGAGTTCAGTCTCCACAGAGAAAGCAGGGATGGAGCGTTCAGACCAGCGCACAAAGGCTCAAGTCTGGCCTTCCCACTAGATGGTAAGCTCCCCAGGACAGAGCAGGCAAGGGCGCCTAGCAAGGTTGCCACGTTGGAGTTGAATGGATCGGAGACTAGCAGCTGCATAGCTAACAAGGAGAAAGACCAACGTTCTCCCTTGAATGCTAGCAGCAGAAGAAAAACCACTAGGATGTTATATTTTGAGAAACAGCCTATGGGGAGGGCGCGATATTATAGCAGCTGTGATGGTGCATGTATGTAAGCCCAGCTACTCAGGAAGCTGAGGCAGGAGGATCACAAGTTTAAAGCCAGCCTGGGCAACCTTGCCTCAAAATAAAATTTAAAAATCATGGCTATAGCTCAGCAGTAGAGCATTTGCCTAGCAGGTGTGAAGCCCTAGGTTCAAACCCCAGTACCACCAAAAAAAATTATTATAAAAGAATGTTTCTAATAAAAGCAAATCAATATTTATTTATATTTATATATGGAACCAGGACAAAACACTGATCCTCCAGCCAGACTCTGCTCCTGACCATGCCCTGCGACCTTGGAGAAGTTACTGGGCTTCAGCTTCCTCCCAGGTAAAATGGGATAAAAATAGGACTCACCTCACAGAGTCACGGTTCGAGTCACAGGAGTTCATAAATGCAAAGTGTTCAAAACATAGTACACACTTTCCAGGTGTATCATAATAATGATCACTGTTTCGCCACCTTCAGCGTAACAGTGAGTTACGGCAGCGCCTCAACTCTACTTCATTCTAGACTGCAGAGGAATCCATGACTGAGGCAATCGTAGTCCGTGTAACTTTCCCTATCAATATGTAGATGATTGCCACTTTCTCAGTTTACGAACCGCCCTTGTTCATTCAGCCTTATGCAAGTGAAAGTTTATAGAAGCAGAATTGCTCAGTCAAAGTCTACCTATTTTTTTTTTAAATCTGCAAATTGATCTCCAATTCCAAAGCCCCACAAACACTGCATGAAAATGAAACCCTCTTTTATGAAGCCAGATGGCCACAATGGAAAAAATGAAAGAAGCCAGATTAGTAGCTCAAATTCTACCTGTGAAGATATGCTATGCCACATACAAATGTATGCCACAAATCAACTGCAATTATACAAAATAAAAATAAACCTGCTAACACAGATCTCGGCATGATCATATGAATTATCGACAAATGTGAAGACCTACCTCGGCCCAAGAAGGGTACTGGGCTTTCTCGCTACCAGCAAGGCCTGGGCTGCCTCGGCCTTCTGTAAGATGCCGTGGCCTGTCACAGTCAGACACTCAGAAAATGAGGGAGGTGGCCATAGAGATTTTGTCCTTTTCCCAGATTATAGCGAACATAAACTGTTAGATAAAATTTTAATATTTTGGGCCGCGAACCTGTTTCCTAACTGGAGTAAAATGAATCCCATGTAGAGATTTATACATTATCTGACAAACAGAATCTCAGGATTGAAATATCTAAAAGGTTGGACAAGACTGAAAAGACTGCTCTCACTGGGGGACAAGTCTACTCGATTTGGAAAGGGCAACTTTGCCACCTTCGTTGGTAAACATATCCTGCTTGGTGGAATTACTAGCAGCAAAGTCTGTCATTAAGTCATGTTTTTTTATTAAAATATTTCCATTAGCCACCGTGTTCCTCCATAAGGGAAAACCAACTGTGCACAATTTTTAAAGCATAACTCACATAACTTCTTTTCCCCTGTACCTACCCCCTCAGTTTCAAACATACTGAGTTTGAAAGGTCCTTGTACATCCCTGCCTAACTCCATCTCTGGGATGGTATTAGTGAATGAGTCATTGTTGACTCTGGCTTCCACAGATGGCCTGGCCCTGTTGCTCTTTTACATTGGGATTTTTGTTTTTGCTTTTTTTGAGACTGGGTTTCACTAAGTCACTGAGTTTCCCACGCTGGGTGCAAACCTCCAGTCCCCCTGTCTCAGCCTCCCAGAGTGCCGGGATTTCAGGCATGCACCTCCATGCCTTCCGCTGGGATTTTTGTTGGCCTCTTTTGGTGTGGCCCTACCAGCCTAGATCAATGTCCTGCTGTGTTGTGCTACTGATTATTTGACAGGTGGGAAGCAAAGGTCACGCAGGCTTTCCCTCTGAAGAGTGCTTTTCAAATTCTGAGGAGCCAGGAAGAGCATGGAAGTGGCGCGGAGCTTCTCTGCAGTGCTTTGCACTTCTCTACACGGGCTGGAAGGAACCTGCTGTAATTGTTCTTCGTCAGCTCCTCCTTACCTCTCGAGGAAGTAAGAATGGTCAAACAACCTATGAACAGGAAAACCAGGGGCACAAGGGGTGGCAGGCCTGTGCAGGGTCCCACAGCTCGGCGACTGCACCCCTGGCCTTGCTCCGTTCAGCTCTGCGTGTCCTTCTCCACTAAACGATGCTGCCTCTGGGGACTGTGGACATCGCTTCTCTGATAAGATGTGCCAATGTCAGTACAAAGTCCTGAAGGATCGATTACCCGGGCTAGTGGTTTTCAGTCCTATGAAGAGGGTTAACTGGGAAAAAGAAAGAGCAGTCTATGGAAGCCGCAGTTAGCAATGATGCATTCCTCACAAATAGCACAGGGGGCCAGGGATTTAGCTCAGTGGTTTTGCCACCTGCCTTCCAAGTGCAAGGACCTGAGTTCAATCCCCGGTACCAAAAAAAAAAAAAAAATAGCACACAGGTCTACACCCATACCACCCTGAACATGCCCGATCTCCTCTGATCTCGGAAGCTAAGCAGGGTCGGGCCTGGTTAGTACTTGGATGGAAGACAAATAGCACACAGACCCCAAGTGAGGCCCTGGAAATACTCAGTGTGTTTAAAACAAAAAAAACCATGAGTACATCAGCTGATTCGGCGCGCTCCAGTCTTGGCGAGTTGCCCCCTCACCA